CAGCAACCAGAAGACTCAGCTTGCTTATTTTATACACCTGAACTGAGGAAGTATCGGGGTTATTGTACACAGCTGAACAAGGAAGTGGGCTAGGAGGTCATCGGAGCCAGAAGACTCAGCTCATTTATTTTATACAGCTGAATTGAGGAAGAATTGGGGTTATTGTATACACCTGAACAGGAAAGTGGGCTAGATCTCTGTAGGGCAACAGTCTGAGGTTCTAACCATCTGGGAGGAGGAAGCTGTGGACCACATTTTCCACACACAATCAGCATCTGCACACAGACGGGGATGGGAGGAAGGGGGGACATGCATGCATCTGAGGCAGTGGGGTCCTTGGCATGGCTGTGCTCATATAAACAATACACATTCACCCAGGACTTCATCTGCTCTTACACATTCACCCAGGGCTTTCTCCGATTCCCCTGCAAAGGGCAGTGGCATAATGTTTTTTTAAAAGGAGCTGGGGTTGGGGACTTAGCTCAGTGATAAGAGCACTGGGAAGAAGAGGAGAATTGTGAGAGGCAGAAGGGTCAAGGAAACCAGGAGTGCACAGCCCCCTCCCCCACTGACCCCCGACTGAACCAACTAAGCAGGGTACCTGGGTTTCAGAGACTGAAGTGGCAACCTGCGTGAGTCTGTGCTAGGTCCTCTGCATATGCCATGATTGTTGGCTTGATGTTTTTGTGAGCCTCTTCCTGACAGTAGGAGTGGGGGTGTCATTGACTCTTTTGCCTGCCCTTTCCTTCTACTGGGTTCCCTCAACGAGCCTGGATGTGAGGGCTTGTGTCTGGTCTTACTGTATTTTGTTGTGCCATGTTGAGTTAAGGCACCTGGGAAGCCCGCTCTTTTCTGGGTGGGGGGAGACATGGAGCGGGAGGAGTGGATCTAGAGGAGAGAGGAGGTGCTGGGAAATAAGGAGGATTGAAGGGAAGCTGCAGTCAGGCTGTATTGTATGAGAGGAAAGAAAAAAAAGCCAGTTGGTGGTGGTGCATGGTAGAGGCAGGTGGATCCAGGTGAGTTCCAGGTCAGGCTGGTCTACAGAGAGAGTTCCAGGACAGCCAAGTCTACACAGAGGAACCCTGTCTGGAAAAACAAACAAAACCAAACCCTCATTGTTTTAAGCGATCTTAAAAGTTTTGGTTGGGCTGCTGTATAGGTTGATGCACTCTACTCTGCAAGGTTAGGCGACAGTGCACAAACATTAGCACTTCAGGGAACTGAAGAAAACAAACAGGGACTCCAGTCCCTTGCCTGGCTTTGCAGGGTAGACAGAAGTCGTGTAAGGGCTAAGAGTACGACTCAGTCGGTAGGTAAGATGCTTACCATGCAGGCATGAGCACCTGAGCTTGAGCCCCAGCAACCATGTAAAAGCCAGGCATGAGGCACCTGTCTGTAACTCTAGCACTGGAGAGGTAAACAAGTGGTTTTTGGGAGCTTGCTGGCCAGCCAGCCTAGCCATAAACGTGAATTCAGGCTCAAAGAGAGACTCTGACTCAGAAAACCAGGAAAGCATACCTTAAACTTACAAGTAAAAATAAATGACACACTGCCATTTATTTTTGTGCGATGAAGTTTTAAGCTATTTTGCAAGATGTTGCAGCTGAAAGAGAGAGAATGAGAGGGAGCGAGCCTCAACACTGACCTCTGGCTTTTGTATACCCATATACATACATACATCATGCACAAAAACGGAGGGAGAGAGGGAGTGGAGAGGGGACAGATGGGAGTGAGAGAGAATAGGAAAAGATGGATGGATGGGTATCTGAGGAAGCTAGACTGATTGGAAAGGCATTCATCTCTTAAAGACAGGCAATAAAGCCTAGAGTGGGTGCCTGCTTCTTCAAATGTAGAAAAACAGAAGAAAATATGAACAAGGAAACATAACAGCACCAAGGAAGAGAGTAACATCCACACAAAAGCCATTCCAAAGAAATGGAGAGCTATGAATTGCCAGAACACAATTCCAAATATTTGCTTTAAGGAAGCACGGTAAGCTACAAGAAAGCAGACTGATAAAGAAATCAGAAAATAAAGATCAAAACAGGAAATTGTTAAAAATTAAAATTAAAAAACAACCCAGGAGGTTCAGCCACAGACATCAGATGGGAAGAGGCCCCATCCTGAGTCATCAGCCCCACCCCACTTCAGCAGCCACCATCCCTGGCAGTGAACTTTATGGCATAAGTCAGGCCTGTGTCATAGCTCCAATCTTGAGAACAAAATGACAGCAACACCAACGGTTGAACAATCTGTTTCAATAAAGGCCGGGAAACCAAAAAATTCAAGAAGGACCTGGATCAGACATGGAGAAATTTCCAGTGACCTGGTTAAAAGACCAGGTAGAGGCATATCCCCCTCAGCCCCCCCCCCCCCCGTCACAAAGACAAGACAGTAATGGAGAAAGAAAAAAGGCTAAAGCACGCTTTTACTACATGTTGAACTTCACTGCCAGGTCAGAGTAGCCTAAGTAGTCAAGAATTGTTTACTCATTACATGTCATGAACATGAATAGTGAGTCTGTATGTCTGAGTCAAGGGTCTTTCTCCCAGCGTCCATAGTTCCTAGGGGAAAATATAATTTTCTTCTGAAGAAATCTCAATTAACATTCATAATTTTGGTAAACAGAATAAAAGCACACCATGTCTGTTTTAATAAAGCATCTTCTTCAGCATGGGTACTTGACATAGTCTGCATAATAACACACCAGACTTTTCCCAGGTTTGTGGACATGGCATTGTGCTTGTACTTGCTCATCACTAGATTAACCATCAGCTTGTATTATGCTTTAAATTGTATCTTTTGTCCGTTGTCTGTTTTTTCCTTATTAATTTCTGAAGGGGGGATTGGAGAGATGGTTCAGCAGTTAAGAGTACTGACTACTCTTCCAGAGACCTGGGACCAATTCCCAGCACACACATGGCAGCTCACAACAGTCTCTATCTCCATTTCCAAAGAATCAGACTTTCTCTTAGATATGAATGCTAGCAAAACACCCCCACACACATGAAATTAAATCCGAAAAAAAAAAAAAGTAAATATGAGCCAGGTACAGTGGCGCACGTGTATGATCACACCACTCAGAGAGGCAGAGGCAGGCGGATCTCTGAGTTTGAGCCTAGTCTACACAGCGAGTCTCGGACAGCCAAGGCTACACAGAGAAACCCTGTCTTGAAAAACCAAATATCAAGTGGATTTATAAAGCTTTATAATGTAACTAGCAGTCACTGTGTAGGTGTCACATTCCTGCTTTGTTACCTTTCCATCTCTCTCTCTCTCTTTTAAATTACATTTGTATGTTTCTCATGGGTATGTGCCTCTGGAAATGAGAGGATAACTTTTCCACTAAGCCTGGACTTGGGTCACTGGGCTCAGCATCAAGAACTCTCACTTGCTGAGCCATCTCACCAGCCCCTTTTTCATCTTTTTGAGATAAAAATGCTTACAGAGCTAGGCCCAATCCTCATCTGCCATGAGATGGTGTGGGCTCAGAAGAGATGCCCTCCGCCTAGGCCCCCTCGCCAGGTGCAACAGGCAGGAAGAGCTGGCTCCTAAGGTCAAGAGTTGGCACCACCCCTTGCCAGCTTTAGCACTCTCAAGAGAGGGCTATTTACCTCACCTGGGCAGCTGGCCTAGTGGTGCCAGTACTGAGTCAGCTCTGGGGGCATGAGAGCAGGAGAGCTAGGCCTGTCTCTTGCCAGCTGAGGCACCTGGATAAGGTAGTTGGGACAAGGCTGGAGAGCTGGCCCTGTGGGTATGGAGAGCTGGCAGACTAACCAACTCAGCTACCATCCAGGCCCAGATCCAGGGCTTCGAGTTGGTACGCTCCAACATCTATCCCATCTATGAATTGCTAGAGCATGGGAAGGGGCCAGTCCTCCAGATCCAAAGCTGCAGGATCTCCATGACACAGGACAGCAACAGGATACCAAAGAGGATTCCTGGGGAGGATCCAGTATTAATATGATAGTGTAGCAGAAGCTAGAAGCCTTGAACCAGACCAATGACTCACTGCAATAAACATTTCCAAGTAAAGATGTTTGGACAAAAAGGTTGTATGACAAACTGTGAGACACAACAGCTTCCATGATGAGATATGTTTGCTGTTTTTAAGTTAATTTTAATTTTTTATTTTCTTTTGGGAAGGAGGTTGCAAGGGCAGAGGGCAGGTACAAAGGGATGGGTATATGACCAGGATTGGAGTACATGATGTGAAATCCACGAATAAAAAGTTTTAAAGATGATTACATAGCAACCATTCTTTCTTTCACATCTATACCTAGGAAGGTATCTTTACACTGAAACCAATACTTAACTGTCCGCCATTTCTCCCACATCATTTTCTTCTTGTTGTTTTTATTCTGCACAGCCTCAGGACCAGAAGTTTTTTCTACATCCCTAACTTATCTGACAGACAATAATATAGTGATTTAAAGGCTTTTCACATACAAAGAATTGATCCTTGTTGGTATAGCTTAAGACTTGGAATCAATTTTGCTTCTTGCCAAAATATGGAAGAGATGAAGTTTTTGAGGCAAGGTCTTAGGGAGCCTAGGCTCACTTTTCATTACTAGGAAGGTGAGGATGACCTTGAACTCCTGATCCTTTGACTTCTACCTCCCAAGTGCTAGTGTTATATAGGCATGCAATGTACCACCATGTCTGGCTCAAAATATGTAAAATGTGAAGACTTTTCTTTCCTGTAAATCATCTGGGTATGTTGTGATCCCAATGCTAGGAAGACAGGCATGTCCATATAGCTCACTGGCAGGTCCAGCCAGCACAGCATCTTTAGTGAGCTCCAGGCCAATGAGAAGCCCTGTGCTAGAGTAAGGTGGGTGGTACCCCTGAGAAGCAATGCCTCAGGTTGTCCTCTACACACATACCCACAAACATACCCCTCCCTTTGTCTATCTCTCTCTCACGCACACACCTCTTCCTATATGTATCTATTTGTATTTCTATGTCTTCATCACCTAATAGTAGTTCCCATCTTTTAGGCATCCTAAAACACCGATGGCAAACTTCAAGGGCCATGCTCTCCCTGGGAGTTTCTTTCTAATATTTGGGCTGTGGTGGTCAGTGAAGTACCCGCTGAAGTACTTTCACCAAAAGGGCTTGAAAAGGAACCGACTGGGCCAACAGCAACAACGTATTGAGATCACTGAAGGTGCAATCAAGACTTTGTTTGCAGTCATTGGTAAGAACAAAAGTCATTTTGTCTATGGTATCTCTTCTTCACAGCCAGAACCGTCACTCTACTCCCTAGATCCTGTGAAATGGATGTTTTACTAGCAGAGATAATAGGACAAGGTCTTAGTGACTGCTAGTCTTTTATTTTAATATCCATTCTGTACAAAGCTTTATATTAATACTTAACAAGCCCTTTTATTATATACATTATAAATAACTACCAAGTAAGCTAGTTTTTGCTCTATAAAGTTGTAAGAAGAGACAAATACTATGTGAAAAACAAAATGCAAATAAGAATGGGGAGATTTTTTTTAAAGGAATTTAAAGTTCTAAATAGGGCTTAGTTTAAACTTAATCATATTTTCCCACGTAGTCTCTTTCTAGATCTCAGGGAAGTTAACAACCACTCATTGGCATATCCTCCATGCACAAGTCTCAAGCATTACCAGCAGTGGTATCCACATAGAGGCCAAAAAGGCAGGCAACAGAAAGGTTAAGAAAGCCCTAGAGTGGCTGGGGGAGACTTCAACCCCACCTCTTTCTCACCAAATCCCCACTGCTGTCCTGCAGCATCGTTTCAGGCGCCAACAGTGACAACAGTAATAAGTGTTCCTCCTCGAGCCATACCTGCTGAAGGTACTGAGGGAGCTTACTCTCAGGTTGTCAGCCATATGGCCTTGGCCTTTGGCTGTCTGGGTGTGAAGCCGTGACATAAGCCCTCCAACAAGGAAGACAATGTCAGATCCAGCCAAGACTTCTTGCATGCACCAAACAGTTCTCTGTGCAGCTAATGAGTAAGGACCATATGACATAATGATAAAGAGAGCATCAACACTGCCTTAAAATAAGTTGAGCTGGTGCAGTCCTGTAATCCCATCACTCAGGGAGGCAGAGACAGGTGGATCTCTAGGAGTTAGAGGCCAGTCTGATCTACAAAGTGCATCTAGGACAACCAAGGCTACACAGAGATAATGTCTCAGAAAAAAAAAAATAAGGTTAAATGTTATTTGCCATCTTAGCTGGTAAGTGACATCTGTTTAGTACCTCTCTGGTGCTCCCAGATGCCAGCAATTCATGTTCCAAGCACTAGAAAAAGTATAGTCTCCATTTCACAGAGCCTCCATTCTAGTATCTGGAACTCTTCTTGGATCATTTCACAAACTTCCTGATCCGTTATAGGTGATTGCAAGTTTAAATGACTTCCAGGCTTCCCAAAAATATTTTAGGTATCAAGAAGGCAAATCTGCCTGTCAAACATGATAAAAAGTAGAAGGGGAGGAAAGCCACTAGAGTGGTGCAGGCTTGTAATTCCAGCACTTAACAGTCGAGAGAATGAAGAGTTTGAAGCAAGCTGGGGCTTAATAGTGCGACTATTTCAAAAAGCAAAAACTAAACAAAGCAAAACAAGAAAGTGACAAGAACCATGAGCTATCCCAAAGGTATGACTTCATCAGTCATTTGTCTCGCTTTAGACACCATGGCCAGATATGGTATGAGGCCTCAAGTTGTTCACCAGTGTTTTGAACAAAGTGCTGTGCTGAGGAAGGCTACCCACTCTACAGCAGGGCCAACACATACACAGGAGTTGCTTCCCTCCATCAGGCCTGCACATCAGTCATTGTTATGGCTTCTGTTCTGTGTGCCTTCAGCAGCAATCTCTCTTGGGTCTCTGCACTGCTCACTTGATACAAAGTCCAAAGATTGAACTGGGCATAGTGGCACACGCCTTTAATCCCAACACTTCAGAGACAGGCAGATCTCTGTGAGTTTGAGGGCAGCCTGGTCTTTTATGTAGCCTGGTCTACATAAAAGACAGAGAAATCCTGTCTTGAAAAAAAAAAGGGGGGGGGGGGGGGAAGTCCAAAGACCAGTGTCTCAGCCTGTCATCTGAGGGGAAATGCTCTGCTCTCTGCTGTGGGCAGTCCCAGGGGACCAGTATGTTCCATTTCTAGTGTTGCTTCTGCCCTGTTCTCAACCTCCACAGGAGCATCCAGGGACAGTGTCTCCATAGGCTTCAAAGAAAACTTTTGTACGGGAAGCAGTTTTTAGGTCAGTCTGTGACCTATTGGCCACTGTCACCTGTATCTGGACCTGTTCACCTCTTCAGGCAAGCTTTGCTTTTTCATGCTTGCCTTGTTGACACCTTCCCCCCATCAGTTTTCATTTTTACTTCCTGGCAGGGATCCTGGCAGAGCAGTTTGTTCCAGATGGGCCTCACCTGCACCTCTACCATGAAAATCATTGGACGAAGCTAATGAATTGGCAGCATAGCACCATGTACCTATTCTTTGGTGTCTCAGGAATCATTGACATGCTCACCTACCTTTACTTCAACATTGTGCCCCTTGGCCTAGACAGACTGGTTTTGGCTATGGCGGTATTCACTGAAGGTAACTTGGCTGGAGAAAGGGAAAGATGGACAAGTTGAATTTATGAGAGACCAAAGTTTAAGACAAGAAACATTAATATATATAATGACCTTCCTCAGAAAATCAATTCTCAACACTTCTAAAACCTAAACAGGGCTAGGTCTTATGCTCTGAGTGACTCAGATAGCATGTTCCATAATGTAGCCAAGAAAGCTTTGGGTGAGGTCACACCTGGAAACACTTATATATGTGTATATATACATATACATACACACATGTGCATGTGGATGGATGTGTGTATCTATGTTCACCCAATCATTCAACTTCTTACAAACTAGCATCATGGCTGAAATACTACACCCACTCTGAAATACATGCCTTTCATTTTCAACAGACCCACAAAACGAATCTGAATGTGCTTGCTGCCAGGGATATCATATAAACTGGCTTCCTGAATGCTGAAGAACCTTAAATTGAGTTGGGACAAATATAGGGAAAAGCAAGCAAGTTTCTGATGGCTGTCATTGATTTCCAACAGGTTTTCTCTTCTATTTTCACGTTCACAACCGACCTCCGCTGGACCAGCACATCCATTCACTCCTGCTGTTTGCTTTGTTTGGAGGGAGTATCAGTCTCTCTCTAGAGGTGATCTTTCGAGATAATATCGTGCTGGAGCTCTTCCGAACCAGTATGCTTATTTTTCAGGGAACCTGGTTCTGGCAGGTGATTATCCACACTCAAGCTCCTCATATGGTCTGAGTTGAGAAACACCTTAGAGATCCCAAAGATTTCCCTAAGAGAAATCCCAGAAGTGACTTGCTGCCTGAAAAATTCAGCAAGTATAACGGGGTGGTGGGTGGGGGTGGCGGATGGCCTCTGGTTTGGTCATCCAAACGAGAGGCTGTTTTATCCCCAAACCAACCCTTGACTTATGCAATTTTTTCTCCACTAAGAGCTTGCTGGTATACTGGCTAGTACCCTGTATTTACTAAACTACTGATATGAAATGCAAGTTCTAAAGTTCAACTGTTTTAAAATCAGCCTATACATCAATTAAACTTAACTAAGCGCAACTTATCTGGGTGAATAGGGCTTTTGGTGTAACTTAACTATAGGAACTGTGAGAGAGTGTACAACATACCAAAACACTCTGCTGGCCATGAAGACAGCTAGTTGCTTCTCAGACAACCAACCAGAAAAATTCTCCTCTATTCCTCCAGATTGGATTTGTCCTGTTCCCGCCATTTGGAACACCAGAATGGGACCAGAAAGACATGGACAATATCATGTTTATCACCATGTGCTTCTGCTGGCATTATTTGGTTGCTCTTTGCATCACAGCCATCAACTACTCTCTAGTTTACTGGTAGGTCTGAGACAAATTTTGTGAAGTTTTCACTTCCCAACTAGTCCCTAAATATTGGTGGTTAACTTCTACTACATAATGACTGCCAACTTCTGCTCAAAATACTCTTTGTAAAGCAGTTACAAATCTTACTTGCCAGTGAGCATAAGGAGGCTTTGCTACCTTAAACTGCCTGAGTCATAGCAAACCTAAATTTCAAGTACAGTTCTAACAGATTTTAAGGGAGCGCATGATAGGGAAATCCTCAAACTAGCAACTGGTCTGGGCTGAAATCCCTGCTGTCACTATTTTGATGGATGCATCACCCACTTCCAGACTTATTTTACTGACTTCCTAAATATACAGATATCAAAATATGTACCAGAGCAGAAAGTGCTAAGTACCTTGTATTGACTCCCTGCACTTGCTGTCCTGGGCACCACAGAAAACCTAAGACACGTTGACTACTCTTGCCCTCTTCACCCCCCAAAGCAGGTATTTCACCCATGAAGAACCCCACAGAGACAAAAAAGGGTGGTGGTGGTGGGGTAGTTCTAACTCTACTTTCTGGACTATAAAATAGCTAGACAGCAAGAGGCTTAACTCTGGTTTCAAGACCGGAGTCCCTTTCTCTACTGTAAACAAACCTCTGAGCAGGCAGGTATGTTGATGTGCTATCACCATGTTTAACAGACACCTAAAAGAAAGGCTCTGTCATGCTTACATCCTGGAGTTAGAACAGAAGGTTTCTATGGCTATCTAACAGTTCTCATGGTTTGTCTACTACAGCTTTCTGGCTCGGGTGAAGAGACACGCAGAAGGAGAAATAATTGGGATTCAGAAGCTGAAGTCTGATCACACTGATCAGTCAGCCCTTTTGAGTGGCTCAGACGAGGAGTGACATCAGGCCTTGGGACAGTGGAGACCTCACATCCTTTACAATAGCTGCAAAAGATGTAGCTTGTCCCCTCCACTTGAAGGCTTGCTTTAGTGTGCTCCTAGGGTGCCATATGTTGCATTCCTCATCTAAAACAAAGCTAGAGGCTCAAACACAGGAAATTTGACCTCACATATTTTTTTATGTACCATGTTATTGGAATATTTAAGCATGATTCAACTTCAAGTCTGTATTAGAGTAATACCATCCATACAGAAAATTGAACACCTTTCGGTAGCAGGCCTGTCCTTGTAGAAGAATTACTTTAAGATCCTGAACACCTACAATAGGAACTGATCCTGTGGATGGAGAAAGCTATGAATCTGACAGGACATTTCATGTTGCTTCTGATAACTTGCCTGTCTTCTCTCAATTAAGCAGGTACTTTCTTCTCAGAAATGTATTGGGACTTAGTTGATAACAGAGCAGTGCCTTCAGTTCAAAGCCAAGATTCTAACATTTTTTTTTAAAATAATAAAGCAACTCATAATCTTTGGTATTTTAAGTGTTAACTTTTAAAATATTCTCTAATCAGTCATATCAGAGTACTGCATTTTAGCCTTGATGAGAGATAAAACTGGCGAAGATAATCTTCTTAAATCAAGTGGCTACTTCACTGTTCAGCTGCGAACTGAAATTCTGTGGATTGCTCAACATTATCCTACTGAGGAGCATTATACAGCAAGCACCTTCCAAGATGCAGGAGAAAAAAAAAAAATCAGGTTATGAAAGGCTTCCAATTTTAAAATCAAAGCTAAAACCAAAGTATAATGATTTTGAATTCTTAATATAGATATATACTGTTGATCCTGGACAGGTTTCGGTTTTGTCGGGTTTGTTTAGTTTTTATAACTTTCTTCAACAAGTATTTATTAAACATTCACTTTGTTCCAGCACTGAAATGTTTACAAAGATTAATGGGATATCCACCAAGAAACTCATAGTATGTGAGAGAACGCCCGAGGCTATCATAGGCAGTGTGATGGGCACTTGTTAAGAAGTGCAGGAACACATGCCTTTAATCCCAGCACTTGGTAGGCAAAGGAAGGCTGATCTCTTGAGTTTTTAAGTGTCAGAATAGCCAGGGCTTTTTGAAACCCTGTCTCAAAAAACAAAGCCATCTCTCCAGCCCCTGTACTTTGCTTTGTTTTTTGAGAGGCAGAACAAAGAAACAGTATTCCTGAGGGACTAACCCAGAACTATTAAATATAAAATAGTAAAACTTAACTAGTGGTTTGGGATACCTTCATTGAATGATCAATCCTAGCAAAAGTCTTAGGCAATGTTAAAATACAAGCCATGGGGCTGGAAAGATGGCACTTCCTGCTCTTCCAGAAGGCCAGAGCTCAGTACCTAGTTACATCTGGACATCCTCTTCTGACTTTCACCAGCCCCCATACATACATGACACATATGCACACAAATATACAGATATACATAGATAAAAATAAATCTTAAAGTACAAGCCAATCAGAGTGATCCTCACTAAATCATGTCTTGAATACTTGGTGTGATTAATTGTAGCAATCTGTTGACCAGACACTCAAGAGGATCAATGTCTGCTTCTGTACTTCAAAAGTTGTTACCTGCCAAATATCCACCCCACCTTCCCCACTGCCTGTCTGGAGATCCTTTGATCTACACATGAAGAAGGCAAACGTGTTAAAACACTGGTGCTGTTGCTGTGGGCAACTCCAGTAGGAGACTTCTAGTGTACACTATTCCAACATCAGACTAGGAAATACTCAAAGCAAACTTCCTGGGGAGCCAACCCCACAAATCAGCATCTTGAAACAGACCTGTATTTTACATCTGTGCTCTCTAGAATATACACATCTGACATATCTGCATGTATAAATCAGACGGGCAGTCAGGTGAATATAAAAACTTGGGACAGACCCGAAGCTGAACGTAAGTTACTTTTATGGGATTTGCTAAGTAAAATCGCGAGAGCTGTTAGCCAAAAGTAAATAGCTGAGTGTTTCCTACTTTCTTATTGTCTAGAAGCTATCACATCATTTTCAGTATGAAATATGGTATCCAAAAAAATATAAAGCACTCAGGTTAACTTTTATTCCCCTCACTCTAAGTCCTTCCACCTCTCATCGCTTCAGTCAACTCCCACATCAGTCCTCTAGGCAGACATCAAGAGTGTAATTTCATCTCATCCAGTCACCATGGTTTGAGAGGTAGGCTTGCTACTTAACTCTACCTACCTTCAAGTTTCACCAGAACACATCCAGTCAATCACCCTTAAGAGGACAGTTATCACCAAAGGCCATGTGGAAGCCCACGATCTGTGCTCCAGCTGCCTATAAAGTGCGGGGAAGCTTCTTTTCCAGTGATACCGACGACTGTGAACACAGTTGAGTTGGAGAGACATGGCAGACTCCTCTGACAGAAGGGTGACAGCCTGGGCAGTAAGTCATCAAAGGGAACTCTTAAGGAGTGTGACGGGGATGCTAAGGTGTGGCTCTCCACAGCTGATAGCTTCTGGTAAGGATGAAGGAGGGGAAGGACTTAGCTCTATTTGGGGGTGAGCCACTGGGAGTTTGAGTATGCTCCAGAGGGTATGTGGACAACACAAATTGGACGTGTCTTTATTTTGGGAAGGGGGTGACTTATAAGGGTGGGGGAATGAACATAGAAAGACTGGAAAGTGAGTATGATTCCCAGAATCAATAATAGTTGGTGGGAGGGCTCAGTACAAAGGGAAATCTGACTTAGGAAAGCTCTAACTTTTCTTTTATAGTTCTGAGACAGTTTAATGTAGCACCTAGGTGGGCCTCTAGCTAGCTGAAGTGAGCCAAGCATCTCAAGTCCTAACTGTCCAGCTTCTATCTCTAGAGTGGCAGGGATGACATTACAGGCCCATGTGACTCTAACATTTTTAGGGGTGCTGGGATCCAACTCAGGTCTCTGGTAGTAGCTAGCACTTTCTCTCCCCACTGAATTATATCTCCAGCATAGGGACCTGACTTAGAATTCCAAGACAAGGTACTCATCTTAGTTTTAATTTCCACTCAGATTTGTATCTTCTCACCATTAAAGAATGACAACTCTATTTGACAAAATTGCTATAAGAATCAAATGCAATTGTAAAGGTACTTTGTAGCCCAAATGACTCTAACCCTTTTATTTCTCAGCAACCTGCCAAATAACCCAGTTTTAACATACCTACCACTTAAGCCAGGCCATTTTCATTCTCCGTGGCCCCTACTTCTATTTCCCCAGAAAAGACATGACTAAAGGCCGAGAAATTAAAGATACATTTTTAATAATTTGGATTCTTTCACAAAGAGATGGGGAAGCCCTATCCCTGCAGAAAGGCTTTCCCACCCACCCCTACACCACAGCAAGACATGTAAGGTAAAAACCAGTGCATCAAGTACTTAGGACTTTAAAGCATCCTTCTGAGCTCTGTCTGTGGCTGGTGGTGGCTGAGAAGTGTGAAATGGCTAGGAATAAAAATGTCAAACGCAGCTTCACTTCTCCTGAAGCTGGCAGGTAGTGCCTAACCCTGCCCCCATGTCCACTATGTCGTCTATTTTCCAATCAGGTGGCCAGTTGTAAAGGTCTGGGTTGCAACTGCTGTTCTACAGCAAATAGAATGTGCAATCTCTGGGCTGTAAGCAAGTGCACTGTGAGAGCAGCATCTTGCCAGCATCCCCTATTCTCCTGTCCCACAGCAGCCAACTTCCATTTAAACAGGCTTGTCAAAGACAATGTCCACAAGTGGACAAGGACAACCAAGATTCGGACAGCCATGCTTAGTAATTAGTCCCACTTGAGGGGATTCATGCTACCTCATGGCCTACATTTCCTTATAGAACCTCTCAATTACCAAGCAAGCCACCAACCTATTAAGAGTCTTTGTTACACTCTCATTCTGGTCAAAGGAGTTAAGTGTGATCAGTTTAGGGGCACTAAAGCCCAGGCTTCTATTTGATAAAAGATGTACAGTTAGGTTCTTTAAAAAAATAAGTTACACAAAATTTTCTGGACACAAAACTCAGATCCTGACAAATCACCAAGAGGATCAGACGCTAAAAAGTAAAATCCTCACATGGAATGAGGCTTATTCACTGCTGGCCCACCCACCAACTGGCAGGCCTGTTCCCTGGGCATCCAACCCTCGGGAGGTGACCCTGGCTTGCGTGACTGTGACCTCCCATGACTCTGATGTTCTCTCCTCCTGGACTAGACAGAGCAGCCCTGGAACCCTAAAAAGGAACCTTGTTCCTGGAGTGTGGCAGCAGAATCGAGGCCAGTTATCATCACCCTCCACCACCCTGCCTCAAGCAGGAGAGCTCAGAGGAATGATGCAACCTCCTGGTTCCCTTTCTGTCAGCTGAGATACACCAGGCCTGATCTCTTGAAGAAGCTGCCTCTATCTCAGTCACTGTTGTTCAGGTGCTTGCTTAGGAGATGGAGCTGTGGTTACAACAACAGTGGAGACTGCTTTCGAGGAGCCAGAAGCTGTGCCCTGTTGGAGATGGGATGCTGGGACAGTCTGGATGCGCACCTGCTTACAAAGAGAGGAGGTCAATCAGTGGACTGCAAGTGGGCTCATCAATTAAAAAAAAAAAAAAAAAAAAAGCAAAGGAAATCAACAAGCCTGAGCTGGTCAACAGTCTGCATTAAACCCTACCTGTGTGGCCTGACCTTGCTGCTGAAGCTGCTGCAACTGCTGGGCAGTGAGGAAACTTACTGGCTTATTGCCAGCAATGAGCTTAGTACCTGCTGGCATGGTTGTGAGGATGATGTTGCGACCCAGTCCACTGAGACTGTGGAAGAAACAGAAGTAAGTATGACCACATCATTCAGGCTTAAACTGAGGCTACATACTGAATGAAGGACAATGAAGAGAGCTGATGCCCGGTAAAAATCCTAGCATTCGGGATTCAAATGGAATCTTAAACTAGACTACCTTTCTTATAAATGTTTACACTTTCCGTGGCAGGAGCCTTCAGAGAAGAGGATAAAATAATCAGCTGTACTATGGCCACCAAGAGTCAGGCACTGCCAAGAAACATGCATCAGAGGGAAGAAACTCTCCCAGGTGGACAAGAACTAAGAGCATTAGAAAGAGTATAGGTGTGTGCCAGCCTCAGAAACCCATTAAGATCCCTGTCTCTTGGGAAAGAAAAGAGCCACCCCACAGCCCCAAACAGCTTCATCATGATTAAGAATGCTGCAATCACTGCATCTGCCTTTTATCCCTGTTTAACTCAGGGCCAGAGGAAACCAACATTTACCAAATATCAAAAGGAAGATCCTTTACACCATCCCATTCCAACATCCTACACCCTCCTCCTTGTTTTCTACCAATCACTATATTACCGTTTTATTATTCCTGTTGTATTCTCCCTACTCTGCAGTATGAGCCAAACACAGAATGGCTCTTTTGTGTCTTAATCATTGCAACCAAAACAGTAATAGGGATTCAATGCATACTACTGATGAAAATGCTAGGTGCGACCGCTACTCCCATTCTGC